GGGGCGGGCCGTCGCCGCCGTGGAAGCGCGGGGGAGAGCCCTTGCGCCTGCAGTCCGCGCCGCCGGCTCCTGCGACCCCATTGGCTGCCTCCTGCAGGCCGCTGCCCAGCGCAGAGGAGTGGCTCATTCCTCCACCTCCTGTCGCACAGAACAGCAGCAATGAGTGAGAAGGCCCCCCTGCTCCCGGGGGGTACAGAGCCTGCCGGCCGGGGGGGTCCCCCTTTTCAGATCAGGAGCCCTAGACTCCTGCCCTGGGCGGGCGGCGGCCCTGCCCGTGATGTGTAACCTCCAGGAATCGAGAGCGTGCGGCAGTATCCCGTGCCGTCCCCCATGCAGCCGAAGGGAAGATCTTCCTGCTCCTCCGCGGAAACACAGCCGGTGTTCTGCTGCGCGGGTCGCGAGTCCTCCGGCGGTCTTCTGGCTTCCCCAGATGCGCCTCACTTCTGTCTTCCGGCCTCACTGATCACCTGGAGATCCAGGGGCTCGGAGATGATCCTTGCTGGCTTCTACCAGCTTCCCTCTGCCCAGCGACACCCCAGCGCACGGCGGAGGTTGGGGTTGGGGTTGGGATTATGAGACCCAGTTATCTGACGAGCACCCACCACTACCCCACCTCCGCCCCCCCCAAGCATCCCCGGCACACAGCTGCTGCTGCTCGGAGCGTGTCGGAGGATCAATGGCTCTAACTGGAACGGCACATCAGCCCTTCCCTGCTCTCTCTGCACACGAGAGCAGAGCAGGAGTGAGCTGCGCAGTCACAGGGAGCCAGGACTGGACATTTCAGACTGGGCCAGATAAAAGGAGTAATGGAAAAAAATGGATCTATTTTAAACACCAGTTGCCGGGCACCTCCTGTCTGTGGCAGCGCCGTCTGCTGACTGAAGCTTCCTGTGCCTAGTTGAGCTGATCTTGTGACTGAGCTAGACTATTTCAATCCCAGGGTGTGTCCACTCCGGGTTTTTTTTTTTAAGACTCTTGCAGGGTTACCGGTTCTATACGATGTCTGAGCGTTTTAAAAACCGAATCCCTGCAGACACACATCATTGCAGTTTCAAAACCTACAATTCCCCACCAGAGCACACATCGCCAGGGAGGAAACAGCCTCGTCCTAAAAAACGGGGAGATGAATGCCTACCTCCTCTAGACCATCCGTTTTACAACCGCTCTTCCGATTCCACTGTGAGATTCTAAGTCTCAGCGTCGTGTGATACGAACAGATCTAATCGTCTACGAATGAGTTGATCACTAGAGCCGCAGTCGTGAAGATTAAGGCGCTGTACCGCAAGAGCGACCGTTCCGCAATCATCAGTCACCTCTAACACGGTTCCGCCACAACATAACACAAAGACCGCACCTGGAATCTCGGCCGTGCCCACTGTTAGAAATAAAATTTATGTTAAAAAAAGGAAAATTCCTCCTTCTCCCATCGAAAAGGCTTCATTACCAGTTTAATCCCCCCCTACTGGAGGACGGCTGTGTCGTAAATGAATACGCGCTCCTCCGCACTACTGGGGAAATCGGAGGAAATAAAATGTCAGCGTTTTATTTAGAAACGCGCTGCGGCCAGCGACTGCCTGGCCAGTACAGAGAGCCGCCGTTTCCCCGTTTTAAGGACGGAAACAAACGGTAGCTGGAAGGATAAAATGTCTATGCGCCGAGGAAGCGGTGACAACCCGAGGCCTCGACCCTACAGTAAACTCGGTTCTCGTAGAATATTTTAAGACCTCGACAACTTACACTTTGCCCTGGTCGTTCCTGGTGTCAGTCCCACTGTGTGGGCGCATTAAAGGCCATCCCCGATGTCAGCTTTTTTAAAATAAACACAAATAAATCACTTACTGTCGCGCCTCCTTCCTGGATGAATGTTGCCAGGAGACCGCGTCCTACCACAATAATCTCCCGTGCAACAACAACAGAGACATAAAACGTCCGTTCCGGTCACCTAGCTGTGCAGTGAAAGCGGATGACTGGAGTAGTTCCCTTGGGGCAACTGACGTTACTTTTAAGAGAGGCACTAGGATTTCTGATCGTACTTAGACTAGAGGGAATCCAGTCGACTGAGCATGGGTTCTACTAATAATCAGAATAAGTTAAAAAATAAAATCGTTAAACCTTTTACATTTAAACCAAGACGCCTTCTTGATTTATCATAACAACAATAATAATGGGTTCAAGACTGAGATTAATATTATTTCCGTCATGGTTATGCCGGCAGCATTTTCTACAAGAACACTCACGGACGGCAATGGGAAGATGATGCACGACGGAAACGGAGGTCTTGGATCACCTTAAGCTGCCATATGTCTAAATGTTCAGTAATTTTGGGAAGCAGTGTTTTAGCACTGCTGACTGACAACGCTGGGGCCCTGGGATTAATTAATGGGGTGCTATCTGGAGTTTGTAAGTTCTCTCTGGGTTCATGTGTGTTTCCTCCAGGTGCTCCAGTTTCCTCCCACAGTCCGAACACATGCTGGGGGGTTTAATTGGCTTCCAGGGAAAACTGGCCCTGGTGTGAGTGTTTGTCTGCTGTGAGGAACTGTTGTAGCTAGTCGTGGCCACACGGAACTTAAGAAGAAACCCAGCCGTTGATGTTTGTAGCTGTACTTATCATTGCAGTTAGATGACGTTACCAGTCTGCAGCTAAGGCATCGACCACAAGGGGGAGACAGAGACTTATAGTCTTTAAAACAGGGGCGCAGATGGAAATCCTGTGGGAATCTCTCATCTCTCATCCGTCCGAACAAATCTCACTTCAAAAACACTTCAAAACTTCGCGTAACGAAATCCCTCTCTCGTGCTGCAGTGTGCTGGTATATTAACGCAGGAGCTGCAGTGTATTTTTGACGGGTGTATTGAACGAAAGAAAAGGTTTTCTGTGACAGTCCAGACGCCCCCACTCAGCAATGCCTGCTGGGAACAGCAGTGGCCAAGGGTGCGAGCCCCGAGTGACACCCCCTCCCCTCCTCCCTCTCGGCTCCCAGGTCAGGGCGGGAGCCCTCCTTGATAAGCATGAACTCACCCGCCCGACAGGCCTGAACGACCCATTCCTTGCCGCCTTTAACTTTAACGAACGTGTCCATTAACGAGTCACTGTGCAGGCGCTGCGCTGGCAGGCCGTCTTTACAGCCGGGTGGGCGGAGAGCCACTTCGCCCCGGGACTGGAGGGGGGGGCACCCTCTCCAAACCTGCTTCAGGGGGGGTCGGGTGGAGGTCGTTGCAATGAACCCTGTTGATGATTAAGAGCAGGCCCTGGGCCTGCAGGCCAGCCCCCCCCCCATGACCATGCAGCACGCTGTCGTTAATGATTCCCCCAGGTGCTCCGAGCTCAGGACACGGTGTTTGAACGCACAGATAGCACAGGCTTAAAGCCTCCAGTCCCAGGCTCTTCTAGTGCGTCGAGTCTTCTTCTTCACTCTTCACGCGGCCTTCAAACGGCTGCGCAGCCGAAACGTTGTGCTCATTCCTCATTCCCTTTATTTCTACAGAGGAACATCTTATCCGTTTTTTCCCCAGAGCTTTTAAAGGCTGTTCTGAAAGGTGGGGCAAGAGTCACGTCTCGAAGCGTTATTGCTCCTCTCCCGGAGGACGCTTCATCACGGGGCGCTGTCTGTCACAGGTGCTGCCGCGCCCGCCGCTACTGAAGTGCGGAATGACCTTCTGTGTGTGAAACGTGTTCCTCAAGTCCATTCCCAATCCGAAGAGCTAAGGCAGAGAATTCCGGTTCCTGCTCCACTTCAGCCCCTGTATGTCAGGCTTTATAGGGGTTTCCAATCAGAGGCCCAAGATCTCGTTAATCAGGACTGATTGCTGGGTTCTCTTGGTAATGGGCTGCTAGTTTGGAATGAAGAACAGAAGACTCTGTGGCCGTCCTGGTCAGGAGCTGCAGGATCCTGTCCTCGATCAAATACACACCCGCTCAGCTCTGTCAGAAAGCTCAGGTCAGGTGAGGTCAGACCCCCCCTGCCCAGGAGGGGGAGAGTGGACTGTGAAGGTGACGAACCCCCCAGCCTGCCCCTGCAGGGGTGCTGGGCCGGCCCTCCCCACGCGCTGGCAGGCCCTCGGGCATGCCGAAACTGGACCGCTCCCAGGGGGAGCTCGGACAATAGCTTCCTTCTTCGAGCTGCGCGGTCAGGATTCCACTGACACAAAGAAGGCTGTTCACCATAGGTAACTCACACCCGCACGAGCAGTGTTCCAGCCAAGAAGGGGCCGTTCACCAGCTCCCTGTCTGCCCCTTTCGCTCGTCCTCTGGGAGCCCTGAGCGAGACCCCGAAGCCTCCCTGTTTCTCAGCGTCTGTGAGGCAGCCCATGGCTCAGCTGTCAGGACCCACACTAATCAGAGGGCCGGTCCGGGCACCCACCCCCCCCATGTGCTGTTACAGTACGTGTTATTTATTCAACATGGCACCTACACTACCTGATCTTACAGCGGGAACACTCGTCCTGTCGTGCTGCTATACCTTACCTTATAACACGGCTTATACAGTATCTTATTATACCTTACCTTGTAAAATGTTTCATATACCTTGTCTCATGAGATCTATTACATACAAAGTCTTGTATCTGGTTGTCCAGTGGTCGCCGCAGCGGCTGCAGAGGAAGCTGTGGCGTTAACCCCTGAATTGCTGCTTCCTCCTGGTGCTCGTGGGTGACTCTCTGACCGGGACGCCTGCAGACTGGATGACAGGACCCTGCCAGCAGTCGGGCAACCCCAGTGCCCTGGAACAGCTGAGGCAGCTGGGAAGGCAGGCTAGGAGTCCCATGCTGTCTCTCTCTCTCCGGCGGGTCCCGGGTCACAGAGACCGGCTCATCTCAGACCCCCCCCCAGAGAGACACCTCTCATCTCAGACCCCCCCAGAGAGACAGAGAGACACCGCTCATCTCAGACCCCCCCAGAGAGACAGAGAGACTCGTGAAAAACACTTTATTACACAAGAAAAGCATCCTGACACAGAATATTGTTAAAGAACAGAAACTCTCAGACACTACAACTTAAAAATAATCAAATTAAATACGTAATCTTTTTCTTTAGCGTACCTACCACACAATAAGGTACTAATAATCTTATGAAGAACATGACAACAATTATTATTAATAAAATTAACTTATAATTACCAAAGAGGAATTTTTATGTCAGCTCATCAGACTGCAGGCAAGCCTTTTTGCATTTACACAGCGTAAATGAGGTCAAAGAGCCAGCGATTAATTCAGAGTCAGCGTGCGAAGCTCTTGTTTAGTCTGATGCTCTCCACCTTTTGTCAGGCCCAGACGTCAGACCGCGATTCCCAGGTCTGAGCTGTTTTCCGAGCACCGGGGTCTGGGCAAGACGTGGTTTCACGAAGCCCCCTTGAAGTCTGGGAGCGAGGGGCCGGGCTGAGTCACGTCAACAGCTATTCGAAGCCTGACTCTGACACAGGCGGGCTGCTTCATCCACCACTTCAAAGCGAATTTAAAAACAAATGAAGCCAGCTGAAGTTTAAAACATAACACCCCCCAGCCTTTAATCATCTTTTCCTCGCGCGTCGCGGAAACCTTCTAAAACTCTTCATTCCTCTGACTCCTGGCCCTGCCGTTCCATTCCTGGAGTGTGGAATGTCCGGAATTCTGGGAACAGCTCTGCGACACAGTCACGGATTCCCACCTGCCCTCGGTGTCCGCTGCTGCAGGTCCTGGGGCTCAGGACCGGCCAGACAGCAGGGCCTGGAGCAGACGACTGCCGTGGGGTTCGGAATCAATGAGCCCTCATGGGACGTGAGGAGTCGAGCAGGCCGGCAGCATTCTGCACCCCGCGCACACGCGCACATACGCACACACACACTCCCTTCCTTTCACGAGCCGAGCTCACTGCCAGGGCACTCAAATTGCATGCAAAAACCAAGTAGCTAGAAACCCGAGCCAGAGTCCTCAAGAGCATTAACCTCCGGATAATCTGTTCAAAATGCCAAATCTGCTTTGAGTTCTGGTTTGCTCTCTGTTTTCGTAATGGGATTCGATAGCTGGCAGGTCAGTGCCAGAGGGGTCTGAAGGAGACGAATGGCTGCACTTTGAAGATCAGGCTCCCAGCAGCCTTGTGGTGGTTAACTGGCAGTCGACGGCGAATTGGCACAGCTTGGCCTTGTAGTGCTGCCAGGTGTGTCTGTCATGGCACAGGGGGAGAGAGCTCCGCCCTTCCTGTGCCAGAGCAGAGCCGGGCTCACCTCGCCCGCGGTGGGGCGGTGCTGCGCACTGAGCCCCCGCCAGAAGCTCTTCTGCAGAGAGGTTGAGCAGAGGGCGCTGAGCAGCCTGGAGTGAACTGGCACCCAGCACCCAGCTGGCCCTGAGAGCCACTGGCACACGGGATAGAAGCTGATAGGCACTGCCAGGCTGCTCGAGACCAGAGAAGGGGTGTTCGTACAGTCTCCCCAACCTCCTGGAGCTGATCCAACTACGCTATTGGGTTTCCGAGAAAATAAAAATGAAAGGGATTTTGCAAAGAAGCAGGAAGCTCCCAGGCAGGGGAGGAAGATCCCTGTTCAGGACGTCCCGTGGCTTGTGTAACAAGGGGAAACCGCAAGCTCAGAGCAAGCAGCTGCACTGAGCACTTCTAATCACAGGGCGAGCGTCTGCTTCTCAACAGACACGCCTCCTGGCAAGGGCACAGTCACTGCTGAGAGCGCGGCAAAGCTCACCCAGCCAGCTCAACAGCAGGGGGACACAGCAGCGTCACAAAGTGGAGAGGCACACGAGCCCAAGGAAAGCACAGCAAAGCAGCCTCAAAGATACCCAACATCCCAATCCCACTCAGCACAGCGCCTCCTACAGGTCCACATCTCAAAACATCTCAAAAGCTCCTACGTGCGCCGGTCTCAGCTGACTGCTCTCGGCCCCACTGCGCCGACAGGGCCGGCGGCCGGGCGAGCAGAGCAGGACGCAGGCCGGCTCTCCGAACTGCACCTGGATTATGGGGGGGACCCCCCCCCCAGAGGCCCCGTCTGCAGTGCGGCCTCTCGGAAACTCCTCTCTACTGTCATCGTGTCCTTAATGAACCGTCAGCCTTAGCACAGGTGACGGAGATAAAAACACCTGCGTCTGCATGTCTCATCCAGCGTGCTCACTGGGAGTATCGAACCCGCCCCCACCCACCCACCCAGAATCTGCCTCTGCCGGTCACTGGCTTTCTCCCTGGGCCGGACGGGTCTCGGGAAGTGAGAGGAGCGACTGTGACCCCGACGGGCTCGTAGTCGGAGCTGCAGGCACAGCCCCGGAGACAGCGCCAGAAGTGGGGGTGCACACATTGCTACCAGCTGACAGAGGCTGCAGTTCAAAGCGCCTGTAACTCCCCTCCCAGGCCAGCTTGGAACCATTTCCCTGGTGTTTCTGGCAGAGAGCTGCGGGGCGCCGTGGTTACAGGCCCCCCCGCCGCCTTCAGAACCAGCCGGCTCTCTCTGCAGCTCGGCCCAGAGCCACGTGCTCCCAGGGCTTTGAAGGCGGGGAGCCACTGAGTCAGCGGTGCAACGCGAGCTCCAGACCAGCGCCCCGCAGAGCTCGCTCCAGAAGCTGTGGGCCACAGCGCGTTACCTCTGAGCGGAGGCCCCGCCGGATGGGGGCAGGCGTGGCTACAGCAGGGGCGCCAAGCGGGCAGGGCCTGCAGAAACAGCTCAGCCGGTGTTCGGATCAGAACGGGGTCAAGCTGAGTCCTGCCAGAAAGCACTTTTCCACAGGAATTTGAGCTCCTAAAGAAACATTCTCTGTGCAGGGCCGATATATACTTCACACCAGAGCCAAGCTCTCTGATTCATGACTGAGGTATCTCTGACCACGTGGCCTTTCAATTGGCCTTTCCTGCTGGAACATCTTGAACGTGTTGCAGCACAATCACGTGCCCGCAAGCCTCCTCAGTCAGGCAGTAGGCTGCTATGCTGAGAAACAGCCCTTGTCAATATGGCTGTAAACGGCGTCGGACTCAGGGACTCTCTCTATCGGAGCTCTGCTGGACCTCGGTACTGCTGAGCTTTTCCAGAATATCTTCTGCTCGGCTCAACAGTGCGACTGGTATTTCAGCACTTTCCCCCACTGGTGCAGCAGCTTCTCTGTGCGGGTGAGTTAAAAGTCTGGAAATAAATACCCCGCCCAACAGCGTGCTGTTGAAATGCGTCACTGCCCCCAGCACAGGCCACAGTGCTGCCCAGCCACACACGACAGCGGATTCCACGATCCTCGGATTCTCCAGAGCTCACGGAGAGCCGCCACCTGTC